CCTAAGAAAAACTGAATTTTTTTGGTAAGTTTTTTATGCTTTTGGATGCGTTTTTAGTCATAAAAAGGGTCTTCCTCTACTCGGATCAGGGTGTCAATTTTTTCCTACAATTTTCGGTGTATTTTGTGCAAGAATATGCAATAAAATCGTCTGCCTAAGAAAAATTGAATTTTTTTGGAAGGTTTTTTGTGCTTTTGGATGCGCTTTTGGTCATAAAAAAAGTCTTCCTCTACTCGGATCGGGCTCTTTAATTATTTTTTACACGTTTAGGTGTATTTTGTGCATGAAATTGCAATAAAATAGTCTGTCAAAGAAGAATTTAATTTTTGTTGGAATTTCATCATTATTTTGAATTCTAAAATTACATTATCATAATGATTTAAAAATTTTTATATAAGAAAGTTGTCTTATGGGATGTTTGTTAGCTCGCATTTGCGCTCGCTTTTGTTGCTTGTTAAATAATAAATTAAATAAATATATGTTTGTACTAGTAGTAAAAGTCTGTTTCATCCAGACAGAACTATAATCTAATTTTATTAAAAGTAATAATAAGATTATTTCTCTTAAGCATAAATTTCCCTAAAATTTCTTGTAAAAATTAATTGTATGCTTTCAAATGTTTTTAATATAAATCAAAAAATATTAATAATACTGAAAAAAATTTGTTTTGTGTGAAATTTACATTCGCGAAAACCATCAACACAATTGATCCCATTTCAGTTGACTCGTTTTTTTCCCATTCGTTTTCGATTGCATAAAAAAAAAAAAAAAAAAAAATTCAACTCCAAACGGAATTTCACCATTAAGCATAGTCATAGAGTTGTTAACGTGGTAGCAGTTTTATCGAACACTCTAATTCCCCGGACGTGGTTCAATCCGAAAGCATCAGGTTTTATGTTTCGCGTAAACTTTGGGTTAATTAACTGCACAAATTAAACCTTAATACTCGAATTGCGAGTTCGCCAAAGATATATCGACAATACGGTTTGATTTACATTTATACAAATATACCACTATAAAGTGTTATTATTATTGTGATTCAAAAATTTTTTTTTTTTCAAAATTTCAATTTATTATTATTATTTTTAATTGTTTTACAATATTGTTAAATTATTTTTCTCATTAGAATTATTGTTCCATTAGTATAAAATAAATATTTGTCGAAGAAATAAATAAATTGAAATTAAAATTATTATCCCTTTTATTGAAACAAAACTTTTTAAGTACTTTAAAGTTCAAAGTTGAATCCAAAAGGTTTTAATGTATTATTTTGTGTTGCGAGTTGGTTGCAAGAATACTTTACGATTTCCAATAACTCACTTGACCCAAGAGCGAATCTTTGAGAAATGCGAAACCGAAGTTTCTTGACAGTTCTGAAGGAGCATTAGAAAGAAAAGGAGTTTTCCATTACATTTTAAACATTATTCCATATACAACAAAACTTGTTCTCAAAGATTTTTAACTTTATTTATTGATCATAAAAATTTCAAAAAGTACGAATCTCTCTCTCTCTCTCTCTCTCTCTCTCTCTCTCTCTCTCTTGACAAAAATAGATTTAATAATTTATTTCCATTAAATTGTCATTAACAAAACAGGAAAAAACTATTTTAACATTGGGTCAAATGTTTTTTTACTACTGCCAAAAAAAAAATAAATCTTTGTATTCCAAGAATAGCTTTGAGCTTGTTTTAGAAACTTGAAGAACTTTTAATCTAATTTTTGCCCCAAGGCACAGCTGCCAGAAAACAAATGATTCGCAAGAAAAAGTCTGCTTGTACCTTTTTGTTGTGTTTGGAATAAATTACTCGAACAAATGAAAAAAAAAAAAAAATGCTCAAGATTTCGCGTACCCTTTTCATTAAAAGATTGGTGCAAGTCTAATCCCCCCCCTCCCCTTCCACCAACTTTCATGCATGGTCTCTCTATACTCTTGGCCCGCATTTCCTTTTCATTGAGCCCAGCTCGTAGTGACGAGGTAAAGCTTCACGAAAGCCGGCTATTCAAGAAAATGTCTCATAAAACCTGTGGCAGGGTAATTACAGAGGTGAATGTCGAAACGAAACTGGATGGCGTCCTTAAAAAAAAAAGAAGAAAAAAAAAAAAAGAAAAAATAACCAACGATAAAGAAATGGAAAGAATGCAAAAGCAAGAGAAAGAAAAACAGAAAAAAAAACAGCGAGAGAGAAGGGGGTGGGGATAGAGAGTGTTTTATGCAAAAATATACAGTTCATCTGTTTTAAATCTCTCAGGATACTGGTTTAATTTAAATCGAATGTCGTTATCAGCAATTGGAAGCTTCGACCTTTGAATATAACTGGAAGAGTTACTGTAATGGAGAATTTATAATAGATTCCGCTCATGTGATATCGAGCTTTGATTAACGTTACACTCTATTTATTCATAATATTGCATCATAAATTTTGGCAGCAGAGAGATATGTACACGCGAAACCAGAAATCGATTTAATTTTTTTTTTTTAGCGTTATCAATGATAAGGGCGGAGGAATATTTTTTTTCTGAAGGATTAACACGGTATGGATTTTGTCTATCCTCTTTTTAAATAACTGCCGAGTCATGTCTTACTTAAATTCAATATTACTACTGAAACTGAAATTATAAGGATTTTTATGTTAAAAACTTTACGATTTATAAAAAAAAATACTATAATTGTCTAACTTGAGTTGGCATTTTAATAGAATAATTACAATACAAATTATGTCTGACTAAAATGGATATTTACTACTAGTACTAACATTTTGTCTGACTATAACTGGAATATACCACTAATACTAAAATTACAAAAATACTCTCGCGTCTGACTAAAAAGTATATTTACTACTGTTACCAACATTTTGTCTGACTATGACTGTCGTTAACTACTAATTAAAAAATTTAGACCAATAATATTATGTCTGACTAAAACTACTATTTACTACTAATACAAAAAATACTTTATAATTAACGTTTATTTAATGAATTTTTTTTTTCTCAATATTAACATCTTATCTACATATTAAAACAATCTTCGATTCAAACACAATGTGTGTATAAATATAAAGAAGAGAACCCATTTCGTAATTTATATAAGAAACGGAAAGGAGATATTTTGCCATGTCGATTCGAAAGAATTAAGCTTTTTCTGAAATAGGATTCCATCTTACGATGAAGCCTTCGGCGGTTCCTATTCACATGGGGAAATTACTTTTTTTCATGATGGAAATTCAGATCGACATTTCCTTCCGTCTAAATCGAGAGTAAATACCTTGTGCCTTGACACAGTAAAATCACATACCCCCCCCCCTCTCTCTCTCTCTCTCTTTCGTTTTCCAATACTCTTTTGTCCCATTGAGTAACGTCTAACTGAACTCAAGATTCATCCAATACATATCGACCAAGTAAAATCGTACTTCAGTTTATATGACACACGACAATTCCCATTCCAATGTCGTAAACTTGTTTTCTTTCATATGCAAATATGTATGTGTATGGATATATATATATATATATATATATACTTTGAGCTTGATTCGTGGTCCATCTATTCGTGACACTGAACATAAGTATCGATAAGGATTTACGCATAGAAATACTCGTTTGATTCAGTATCAGATTTCCGACATTCTTGAAAATATAAATATATGTATATACATAAACACATTTTACGTATAAACACTTGTCAATATTTCAAAAATATTCTCAATACCCATAAAAAAAAATTTTATTTCTCTTTTATCGTTTATACTTTAACATAAATTAAAATCTACCCTGGAAAATTCTGTATATTTGAATTCAAAGTTTTTATGTATCAATGAAATATGTTTATTTAATTATTATCTATTATTATATTAATAGAAATAATTATTATTATAAAATTTTTTATATTTTCAACAATACAATCGTTTACATTCACTTTTTCAAAATCCTGACAGCGGACAAAAGTACATTGAAAACTACTCCGACTGTTAAAAGTAACCAAAAAAATACATTTTTTTGAGTCTTTACCCTCAATTATCTCAAAATCGTGGCGTTTTGAACAATTTTAGTACCAGGAATCGTGTTCAGAAGACAAAAATACATCGAAAACCATTCCGATATCAAAAATATCAAAAAAAAATTTTTTTTTTGGGTCTCTACCCCCACTTTTTTCAAAATGCTATTTTTTAAATTGCGCATGTGTGTCTTAAAGTAATATCGGAGTCGTTTTCAATGTATTTTTATCCGCTGAACACGATTCCGGATCACAAAATTGTGTAGCACGTCAGGATTTTGAAAAATCTTATGAAAAAGAAAAAAAAACCTGTTAGGCAAATTTTGTGATTCAGAATTGTGTTAAGCGGACAAAAGTACATTGAAAACTACTCCGACTGTTAAAAATAACCAAAAAAAAACATTTTTTTGGGTCTTTGCCCTGAATTGTCTCAAAATCGTGACGTTTTAAACAATTTTAGTACCTGGAATCGTGTTCAGAAAACAAAAATACATCGAAAACCATTCCGATATCAAAAATATCAAAAAAAAATTTTTTTTTGGGTCTCTACCCCCACTTTTTTCAAAATGCTATTTTTTAAATTACGCATGTGTGTCTTAAAGTAATATCGGAGTCGTTTTCAATGTATTTTTATCCGCTGAACACGATTCCGGGTCACAAAATTGTGTATCACGTCAGGATTTTGAAAAATCTTATGAAAAAGAAAAAAAAACATTTTTTTGGTGTCTTTATCGACACTTTTTTCAAAATTTTGACATTCTAGACGATTTTGGAAACCGGCATCGCGTTCAAAGGACAAAAATATACCGTAAACCGTGTATTACATCAGTAGTGCGCCAGTAGAAAATTCTTTAAATTTCCAATAGGATTGTTGCGAAAAAATTATATTATTCGCGAATTTTTTTTTTTATATGGCAAAAAGTTTTGTGCCAAGAAATCAAATTTAGTGTAATTTAGTGTTTGATGTTGTAATTAATGAATTAGAATATAGATGAAATTTTTAGAAACTCACCTGTAACCTTAATTTGATAAGGTAATTGAGCTCGCCATGTATTTTGTAATTTAGGATCTGGTGCAACGCATTTGTATTCACCAGCTTCTTGATAAACAACACGATTGAGGGCAAGTGGTCCTGGACCACCAACAGGATCCATGTCTGGACCATGTCCCCAGCATCCGCCATCACATTCCAATGTAACGGCACCTCCAATTTGTACCTCCATTTTTCGTGAACCCGTTACCTCGCCATTTACCAATTTTGTTTCCGTATCTATTTCCGGATTATCTGTAAAAGAGAGAGAAAAAAAAATTATTAACATAAAAAGTTCTTTATTAAATAAAAATTTTTACTTTCTTTTTTTATAATATATTTCTTTTGTTTTTTTGTTTTCCTTTTCTTTTGTTTCAATGTTCACATTTTCGTTATTATTCTCATTTTTATTATTCATATTATATAATTTGCATTTCACTACGCATCAAGATATTTTACATAACATTAATTAAAATTTTTCATTATGTTCCCTTGGCTTTGTAAACAAGTTAATTGTAACAACAACAACAACAACAACAACAAAATAATAAAAAAAAGAGATTTTAAATTACTGATTTTATTTGAAAAAATAAAATTGAGATTTGAGAACGTTTAATTGTATATTCGTGTAATGAATAAAATGGAAATTCAGTGAAGATCCACCACGATGCCTTTTAATTGGTCGAGTTTAAGGAAAACTGGTTTTGCGGAATGAAGAATTAAATTGCGCTCAATTTGCATATGCTTTTGATTACAGTCAAGTGCTTGAATATTTAAATAATATTATATATATATATATATATATGTTTTCTGGTTTTATACAAGAGTGAGAAGTAAATCGAAATTTTATTTGTATATAGAAAACGCGCGGAAAACTGAAATATGAATTAGGTGCGCCGCACATATGCGGTGATAAAATCGATTTATGGCGTAGAGAAAAGCAAAGCGATTTACACCATTTGTCCATCTGAACGTGCCAAATCTTTAGAAGCGTGACGATCGTGTATGGTGTACGTTATCTACGTGATATGTATATTGAGTACATGCAATAGAGAGAAGCTAGGGTTTATGTACACACGCGTGTGCTGTTACGTGGACCTAACCTTTCGTCATCTATACCCATCCAACATCCTCCTCTTGCATCAGGATCAGTTGCACGTATTGGGGATAAACTTTCCCTCCCCCTTTCTCCTTCTTTTACCTCCTTCTCCTTGTTTGATATTTTCTTTTACTTTTTTTTTTTTAAACCGAACTCTCTTTTTTTTCTTTTTCTGTCTCTTTCTCTTTATTAAAAAATCATCTAACTTGAACCATTTCCAAAAAGCATCTTTTCAGCACCTGCTCTTTGTTTTTTTTTCCATCAACAAAATTTCGAATTTTTAAAATTAAAAATTATCCTATTTTTGGGGGCGTATTATCATATAAATTAAATAAATTGGAATTTTTATTTCCAAGAATTTTATCAAAACATTTTTTAGCCAAATTTTAATTTTTCTAAATATCTAGAAAATCGGTAAAATAAAAAATTATTTCCAAAAGTGATGTAACAATATTTAAATAACATAACGCAAATAATAATGAAAATAAAAGAAATGTTTGAAGAAAAAATATATATCTGGGTGTGAATCGAAGTACACACATTTTCTTGGGAATTACGGTTAGAACAAGAATGAGATGGTTGAAAGCGAATAAAAAAAAAAAAAAAACAGAAAACGAAAAAAAAGGAAACAAAGAAAAAAAAGTCGAGAGAAGAAAACAAGGCAAGTTCGGTCCTTTGAGATGCTGAATTGATCCTTTGGCTCATCCCTTTACAAAACAAAAGGATCAAAGTCCAAGTTCCGAGACAGTCTAAGACTCGACAAACTTCTTTTATTTCTCTTTACTCTTTTTCCCTTTTCATATACATATATATATATGTACATTCATACATGTAAAGAATCTTAACTTCAATAAGGACATGTTTTCTATTGCTTGTTAGAATGGAAAATTTCGTTTTTGAACCGCGTCTTTTCTCTTATTTCAGAGAGGATGAGGTTAGAAACCTACTTTCTGTTGAAAAATTGCACAAAAAAAAAATTTTTATGCACCCAAAAAAAAGTAATCTTCTACTTAGAGGAAAATTCCTCTTCTAATATCCTCTAAATATTTCCTCTTAAAACAAGATAATTCAATTAAAATGTAGAATATTTTTATTCTTCATTTTAATGGAAGAATGACAAAAGGATTCCTTTTGTATTTTCCTCTTTAATTAAGATTTTCCGTTTTAAATTTAGAAGATTTGAAAAAAGGAAACGGAAAAAAATAATGTAATCGTTTGATCCCTTTCCCTGGGTATGATAGTTGTGAAGTTGTTTTTTAACCTTTCAGTTTTAATATTTCTGGTAAAATGTCAACAAAAAGGACAAAAAAATGGATTTGCTTTATTAAAAATACAGAAAATATAGTTAAATTCAAATTAAATGAATATTTTTAACGCTATTTTTAGATTTAAAAAAAAAATTTGGATATTTCTTGTGAAATTTTACTACTCAGGTAAATAGAAATACTATAACCCCATTTTTGAATCTTTCGAATTTTTTAAATCTTTTTATTTACTTTTTTAAAAAAGTTTTAAAACGTTAAATAATTTCATATATGAAATTTTTTTCTGTCCTATAAAAAATGTTAACTTTTAAACATATCATCATGTTTTAAAATTATTTTTGCGCTGAAAATCTCGTTGATCATTACAACTGATTAATGAAAACTTATTTTTTGTATTTTAATTATCAATATAAAATGTTGATAATTAACCAAAAACATGACATTGTTAATATTATATTAAAAAACAATTTTTATTATTATATTGAAATGAACTATTATAATTTTACTTAATTTTAATTTAAAAATGTATTTTCTGCAAAGATTTTATTATTTGATTGAAATTATAATTATTTTATTGATGGCTTTGACATTAAAAACAATTTTACGAGGTTTGGATGTCGACATTTAATTTAAGAGGAAAATCCTCTTAAATGAAGAATAATAATTTTGATACCAAAATTAAGAGGAAAATATGCATTTATTTTAGAGGAATCCTCTAGATTGAAAATTACTTTTTTTAGGGTGTGTAGAAGGAAATACGATTTAAACGTTTCTATGCACACAAGAGTAATTTATAAAAATTTCCTAGTTTTCAATTTTTATAATTTATTTAAATTATTCTTATTTTTTTATTTTCATAATTACTATTATTATAATTTATTATTATTATTATCTTTTTTATTATTTTTTTACTAGTATTTTTATAATTATTTTTATTTTTATTTGCATTATTTATGATTACCTTTTATTTTCATTTCTTTGTATTTTTTATTATTCGTATTTCATTCTTATTGCAACAGATAAAGAATCTTTCCATGGGAAATAAGGAAAGAATAAAAAATACGAATAATACGTGGTGCAAATATTATTCAACTGTATTACTATCACAATAAGTAAGATTTATTATTTACTATTGTTATTACGTGACAAATAAAAAAATGTTCTATATATATATATATAAATTAGAAATTGAGAATAATTATTATATTATAGTATAATATATTATATTATTATATAAATTATTTTTTAGTATGCTTTAATTTTTTTAATATTATTAATTTTCAATTTGATTTAATTTTGTCTTATATTAATTAATAAATAGTTTTAGTTACCGTGTCTTATTTGAAATTTTGATATCGATGTCTGACGAAATACTGACTTTTGCTACTGAATTTACATAGTTCATTGTAGTTACAAATTGTTTGGCAAAGTAATTCCACTGTCTGACTGAATTCTATCTTTACTACTCAATTCTCGAGTTTATATTAATTACACTGATTGCGAATTGATTTATTTTTAACTATATTATTAAATATCACAAGATTTTGTAATTTATTTATTTTCGAAAAATTTAGAAAAAATATTCTATTTCTTTTTTATTCTTATGTGTCAAATATATAAATCTGTCATTGCTTGTCATTTTCTTTAATCAATTTGTTTCAGAAAAGGAATTTTAAAAAAAATAAATAAAAATTGACATATTTTTATTATTGAAAAAAAGAAGTTTCTTAGAATAAAATGTGCCATACATGAAAAATGTACTTTTTTAAAAAATTGCAACTGGAATTTTTTTTTTTTCCGTGTACTATATTCAATTTGTATCTTCATCGTAAAAGTCACAAAGAACTTTTTAGACAAAAGATTTTTTCTTTTGTAAAAAAAAAAAAACAGGGAAAGTAAATATTCTTATTTTAAAGAAGGAAATAAATTTTAAAAAGAATTTAAAAGGGGAATATTCCTTTTTTTATATATTTCAATATAAATACTTATATATTTTTCAGAAATAGATAATTTTTGACGATATATTTTATTATTCAAACTGTATTAATAATTTATATATATTTTTCTATTGTTTTTTTCCCTCGTTGTTTTTTTTTAGTTATTATTTATTTTGTGGAATTCTTTTTTTTTATAGAATTTAATTACGTAGAATCGCTACCCTAAGTTTTTGGACAATAAAAAATTAGAAAAAAAAACAAATATTTGCAAAAAACAATTTAATATTCAAACGTATGTTAAGGATAATTTTCCACGGAAAAGAATTGGAATAAAATTGCAAGTAGATAGTATTTATCGAAAGCGTATATATAAACTGGAGGGAGAGATTATTTACTTTCTATTACCTCACGCTCTGTAAATCGATTCGACTGCAATTTATACAAACTCTGATTTTTATTATTATTATTATTATTATTATTATTATTATTTAGAGTGTATAACATCGAGATTAATCTCAATATATTTGGTTAGTTACGTTGAAGGGTTGCAACTCATCAACAAGCTTAAAATGTAGGGTCACTTAACCGTATCATCGAAACGTTATCCGGAGATAAATTATCCACCGCACAAGGAGATACATATATACACGTAACCTTGTAATCGATAATTCCAACGGAGGACCTATGGTTAATAGGTGCTCTCATGCCGTCTAAATTGCGTAGAGATTAGTTGCTCAGAAGCCCCCGTATCTGGAACGCCGAGGATAAGAGGTGAGGGCGCAGAAGTGAGAGGATTTGTTATATATATATATATATATATATATATAGATTTCACAATTGGTTTTGAAACCTTGTGCGATCGTTTGCCGAATGGGTGGTTCCCATACCCCACTTTGAGACGCTTTGAGGAAATTTGCAAATTTTCGCGTTGAGGGTGCCGGTAATTTCCGGTTGGCGAGATGATTTCCGTTCTTGACAAATGACTATGGTTTCCGTTTCGTATCGGCGTACCTACGAATGCGACTATATTCTCAATATATATATATATATGTATATGTATATGGAATTCGAAATTGAGGAGCAGGTGCTAATATCTTTTAATGGGAACATAAAGATTAACTCTGGCTTCAAACCAAAGATAAGAGCTAATCTTCTTGTTATCGTAGTTTACGAAACGAATTAAGATTGGATTACAAGATTTTACTTGACGCCAAATAAGGTGAATGCCTTCTTGCTTTTCCATCATTTTCATTTCGTTTATATATACACCGAAATAAATAATTTTTCACAGCGAAAAAAAAATTCTTAAATTAATAATATATAATGCAATAAAATTTTGTTTATTAATATTTAAGTGTAATTCTCAAATTTAGTATATATTCTACTGTTAAAGTAAAAATGTACATTGAGAAAAAAAATTTAGTGTTTGCACACAAAATTGCTTGATTAGGCAATTTTGGTTCTTGTAACGAAATTTTGGTTGGCTGAAACAAAGTCGTAGAGTTATTTCAACCAAACATTTGGTTAGGCCAACAAAATTATTTTGTAGAAAATTTTTAAATTACAACCAAAATTTGCTTATGACAACAAAATAATTTGGTTAACATAACAAAATAGTTTGGTCAAAAAAAACCAAATGATCGTTTGTTGACCTAACAAAAAAAAAATTGGTTGAGCTAACCAAACATTTTTGGTATGCCAACAAAAAAAAAATCCAACCAAATTTTTTTGTTGACTCAAACAAATAGTTTGGTTGCTTAAATACTAACAAAATTTTTTTGTTGGCCCAACCAAATTTTGGTTGCTCTGACTAAACATTTTTCTCAGTGTATTCTAAATTTAATATGTTCTTAATAGTTAGAATATATTCTAAGATTCAGAAAATACTCTCAAATTAAGAATATTTTTTTAAATTGATATTGTATTCTTATTTTCTTCGTTATAATAAGAATAGTATTTGTATAATAAGAATAATATTCTTAGAATAAGAATTACATTTTCAAAATGAAAATAATATTCTCAAACTAAGAATTGTATTCAATAAGAAAGAGTAGTATTCTTTATAAATAATATTCTTATAATAAAGATAATTTTCTCAAAATAAGAATAATATTCTGAAAATAATTATTTCTTGTTTACTATTTTTATATAAAGTTTAATTTACTATTTTTTGTCCTATGAATAATAGAATTATTTCTCCGTCTGACAGTACTCCACTTATAATACTTAATTTTTAATAAAACATGAAATTTTAATTATATTATAAGATCCATTTGCCAGCGCTTAATATAATAGCTTCTTATAATTAATTAATTACAATTTTGAAATTGTAATTAAAAAAATCTTAAATTTAGACTATCCTTATATTGGTGTAGTCAAAAGTTAGCTTTGAAAAGGTGAATCAAAAAAAAAAAAAAAAAAAATTTTCGAAAAAAGAATTTCATTTAAAACAAAAAGACATGGTGTTTTCATCAAAAATGGTAAAAGTGGTGTGTACGTGTGTACTTGAGTAAAAGGTTTGACAGGTTCATCGACATTGGTCGTCAAGGGACACTTGAACGAAAAAAAAAAAAAGAAAAAAACGATAAATCCAACAAACGTCGAAGGGTTTTCTCTCTCTCTGTGTATAGATATATGTATATATATATACTCACAGCGTACGTTGAGGAAGTAGCCGATGCTCGTGAAAATTCCCAACATGTGTCGCGTGTAACATTTGTACCAGCCAGTTTCGTTGCGACTGATTTTTGTAAAGTTTAGCCATCCGTCATCACTCTGCTCCACTGGTGGTGGTCCATTATCTGAAAAAGTAACAAATCCATTTACAATGAGAAATGGAGCAGTAAAATTGGCATTAAATGTAAAAAATTGAGGTTTTCAGAATTTTTCCCATCCCCCCCCCCCCCTCTCCCTCTTATATAGATGACACAAAATTTTTCGATTTCGTATTTCCTGTGATTTTTTATACATGAATTTCCGGACAAAAAGCTCTTTTTTTAAATATTTTTCTATTTCTTTATTTTATAAAACATTTTTATTAAATTTTGTTTTCTTTTCTATTTTAATAAAAACAAAGTACCATTTTTTGTTCCATTAGGCCTTGGATCAACTTTGAGGTGCAAAAAAAATCCATTTAGGCGGTTTTTTTTAACCAAAATTTGGTTGGGCCAACAAAAAAATTTTGTTGATATTTAAGCAACCAAACTATTTGAGTCAACCAAAAAATTTGGTTGAATTTTTTTTCTTGGCATACCAAAAATGTTTGATTGATCAAACCAACAGTTTTTTTGTACAATTAAAAATTTTATTCTACCTTATATCTTTTCTTTTTATCTTTTTTATTTATTTCATTATTTTATTTATTATCAATTTATCATTGAATTTATATTTATCCAATTGAAATATTTATGAACTTTGAAAAATTTCACCTCCGTCTGGGATCGAACCTCTGTTTTAAAACTGAAGGTCGGGAGCTCTGACCACTGGACTACTCATCCTTGTGAGAGATTTAAACTAATTGTTCTCTTAAGCTATGAGCTGAGAGCGAATCAAACTATATCGTTGTCGCAACCAAATTTTGGTTAGGACAACAAACGATCATTTGGTTTTTTAGACCAAACTATTTTGTTGTGTTAACCAAATTATTTTGTTGTCATAAGCAAATTTTGGTTGTAATTTAAAAATTTTCTACCAAATAATTTTGTTGGCCTAACCAAATGTTTGGTTGAGATAACCCTATGACTTTGTTTCAGCCAACCAAAATTTGGTTACAAGAACCAAAATTGCTTAACCAAACAATTTTGTTGCAAACACTAAATTTGAAACTTTGTCTCAGCCAACCAAAATTTGGTTACAAGAACCAAAATTGTTTAACCAAACAATTTTGTTGCAAACACTAAATTTGAAACTTTGTTTCAGCCAACCAAAATTTGGTTACAAGAACCAAAATTGCTTAACCAAACAATTTTGTTGCAAACACTAAATTTGAAACTTTGTCTCAGCCAACCAAAATTTGGTTACATCAACCAAAATTGCTTAACCAAACAATTTTGTTGCAAACATTAAATTTCTTTTTCTCAGTGTAAGAAAATTTATTTCGAAAAATTTCAGAATCTAAGACTAAAAATTTATTGTCTCACTTGTGAGATTTAGAAAATTTTCAAATAGTAAAATTTATTTCCTGATTTACGTGAAATATGGGGATTTGAAAATATTCCAGGTGATATTATTGAAGGCACGAGGAACGCGTAAAACAGTTTGAGAGAAGAGAAACTTGTGCTTGGTGTATATAACCAATAGCATGAGAGTTGAGAATGGCGACGAAACTTTTATGTATCGAAGCATAACGTTAGGAAGAAGGGAGGGGGGGGATGTTTCGCAAAAGTGAGCTTTAGGATATTCTCTTGCCAAAGGTCGCTCCGATTGTGTTAACAGTAGTCTCTCTCTCTCTCTCTCTTTCTCTTTCTCTTTCCCCCGTAGCAAGTTGTGCAAAATAGCGTCCCGTTATATATGAAATAAGCTAACGCCGTGACTTGGCCAAAAAAGCACGACATTTCCGCCTGGCTTTACCAAGTGTAGGCAATTTGGCTGTGAAACAAATGAATACTACTGGAATTGAATTTCAAAGAATAAAAACGAAACAAAAATGAAACTTCACTAAGTACACAATTTCATACATTTATTGCTCAAACTGTTTAAAGAGGTTTCTATAAATCAGAAAATATTTTTTTTTTATTTAAATTTACTATTCGAGATTATTTAGCTAGATTTCTAAATTATACTAATCTAGATAATAAACATGTCTGACAGTATTTTTCTTATTCTACTTAAAAATCCATAATTTGTGAAGTAATCAAAAACTAATAATGAATAAAAAAAAATTTTTTTTTTCTTTACTCGAATAATAATAATTATTTTGCGGTCAATTAAAAAATGAAAGAAAAAAAGAAAAGTGAGAGAGACAATCATCTTGGAATAATAGTATATAACAGAGGACAATTTATATTCTTAAGAGTCGAGACATTGGATGGAAAAGTACGTGCTTGACGGTATATATTATTGGATTTTAATCGTGATCAATATTATAGAAATGAAATGGATAGGAGGATTTACTTGAAATTATTCGATTCAGTCTATGAATAGGGATTAAACTGATTGCCAAGAGGCATCTCTGTCGATTGCATTGGGGGAATCCAGATGTCAAGAGAGAAGGGTGAAAATAATTGAATATTTAATAGGATAAAACGTGTCTGCATTGACTGACGGTCGACACAATCGTATTGCCCCCCCCCCCTCCCTCCTTTATTATTTTTTTTTTCTTTTAATTAAACGATATAGCTATTGTAATCGTTTCATATTATACGACCACGATTTTGTCGCATTTAATCATTGATATTATTAATAAAAGTCGATTTTATCGAATAAAGAAATAGACTAAGTGAATGAAGAAAATAAATTTTTTTTTTTTTTTTAAATAAAATTATTCTAGGGTAAATGTTCCAATTACTGTGATGTACAACCCAAGACCGACTTTAATGATAAAATAATAAAAATGTAAATGAAATAATGATTTAATTCTTTTTATTAAATCACTATTAGTGTCTATTGAAATAAAAACGATACTTTAAACTTGAAGAAATAACAAATATATTATTAAAAATATTAATTTTTTTAAAAATGGCATATGCTGGTATTAGTGCAAGTTTGCATGAATTACTGCAAATGGTAACTTGAATAAATAATTTGATAATAGTCCAAATATGCATCATTAGTGAATATAATATCAAATATCATTTGGAATAAGTTTTAAAATCATTTTGAAACAGTTTTATGTTCTCAATTACTAAGTTTTACTAATTTTATAAAAATCGCAGTAATTGGCGCATAAGCAGTAATTCATACATTTACCCTATCGTTTTGGAAATTTTTTTTTCTAACTTCGTACAGAGGAAAAATAATGTTTTCATTAAAAGAGGATTTTCCAAAAAAAAAAAAAGAATTTAAATCAAAGATGAATGATTAAATAAAGAAACAAATAAATAATAATAATGATAATAATAATAATAAATTAATTAATTAATTAATATTCAAATATAGAAGAAAAATTGTATTTTTTTTTATATGAATAATTGAAAAAAAAAGAAAAAATTAATTTTTGAATATTCTTATTTTGAAAAATTTATATTATTTTTCCATGAATTTATTTCTCGTGGATTACGTTTGCATGATATTAATAATATATAGAAATTTTATTTATGCAAACGTTATCCTCAGCCTTAATCCAAAATCCTTATTATTTTTATCATATATTATAAAATTCGAATTGTTTGTTTAGTTGAAAGTCCATTATGCTATAATAAATTATTATTTTCTGTCTCTCTCGCTCCATATATAGATATAGAAATAGATTAAAATTGTTCATTTAGTGTATGATGAATTTGGCTCGATAGTAAATTTAAATGGAAACTAATATATTAATAGAGAAAATCAGCATATTGCATTGTATATTGGACACTTATGTTCGAATAGTTATTAGGATAATGTTTCATGCTTTGGCTCAATACAAAATTATAGTACACTGAATTCACGAATATATATATATATATATTAATACGATAGTTTCTAGTAATATTTATTTATTATTGAAAGTCGGGCATTTATAATATATACATGAATTAATTTTTGTATATTTATAATCTTTCCACTCTGATTGTGAATGCCATTTACCAAACATATTTCCATATATATATATATATATGAAATTTGCATTCCTTCATATATATTCGATATAAAATGAAATTTATCGATTTCGTTTTCCGTGACTAAATAAAATAAAATACGATATAAATATATATATATATAAACCAGCGGAAAAGCAATGCAATATAATAAATCCACTGTCGCGCTATCAAATGTGTCAAAAAGAAAGTAATGGCTTGTAAAACGCGCGGGGACGAATATTTCCTTATAATTTTAGCCAACAGATTTTTACGATGACGCGAGAGAAACAGGAGCTGTGAATATCGGGTATCATGAGAAAACTCCTTATCGCATCCACAACGATATCACACCATTAAATTGTTTGATGTTTACTTTTATATTTAAATATTTTTTTTACCCTTGGAAAAAGTTTCACAGGAATATACTTTATGCTTTGTAATTTTTTTTTTTTACCTTGCCCAATTAGAATGTTTCATTTTCCACAAAATATATATGTATATATTTAACGAGACTTTCAGTATAAAAACAAATTTTATTTGCAAAAATTTATTTTTAATAATTTTTTTTTGTTATAAAATATTAATTGAAATAAAATGATTCTGATTCTATAAATATTTAATTTTTAATACAATCCTTCTTGTCTATTAACGAATTTTTCCACTCGAATAGAAAAGTTTAATTTACTCTCTCTTTTTTTTTTTTTTTTTGGTCTGTGGTAAAATTCATTTCCTGGATCTGATCATATAATCAGTACTACTTAGGACAAAAAGAAATTTTTAAATTTTAATTACGATTCATAATGTGAGTTTTACTAGTTTCAATATAAAGGTGAAAGGATAATTAGCTTTTTAATTGTACAAAAGAAAATAGAGACTATACGTTTTGTGCTACTTATATTTTAAAATTATAATTACTGTTTCAATAAATTTTTCTACAGCTTTTACTAAAATTTATTAATTTTTAATAATTTTTAATAATTTTTATTAATTTTAAATAATTTTAAATAATTTTAAATAATTTTAAATAATTTTAATAATTTGAAAATAATAATTTTCAAGAAAGAAAAAAAGAAAACTGTTTTTAGAAACAGAAAATAAGAAATTTAAATAATTGCACTTACCACGTTGCCAAATTGGAGCACTTGCCGGATTACTGTCGACTTCACATTTTAGACTGACGGACATTCTCTCAACAATAGGTACGCCGAATCCTGGTAATCTCGTAATGGCAAAAGATGGAGTATCTAAAACAAATGTAAAAGACGAGAAAACTTATTTGACTGTATCATAGTATAAAATTTATAAGTAGATTAAACTTTTAGATAATATTCCCCGAAATATCATTTCATGTATAGTGCTTTTGAGGTCTTATGTTTTCATATCCCAGTAGAGCCACGATTTCCCAAGAATACATCGAAATAATGAAATTAGGTTGTTGAGCTTTTTGGGAGGACGGGAGGTACCGCGAAAATAGAGAGAGAGAGAGAGAGAGAGAGAGAGAGAGATATGAAATAGTGGAAACAGAGAGGAAAGGGAGAGAGAAGAAAGTAAACGAAACTCTATGGGGTGGCTCCCAAGTTATTCACTCGACTACAACAGTGCGGTGCAGAAACAATGAAGCTTAATGAAAGCTACCCCAGCCACGGTTCGACTCTCTTACCCCTCTCTCTCTCTCTCTCTCTCTCTCTCTCTCTCTCTCTCTCTCTCTCTCTCTCTCTCTCTCTCTCTCTCTCTCTTTCTCTCCTCTCTTCTCCAGCGTAAACAGCAAACAAAGCAAACAGTGCGACAGAGAAGTGTCCCACAGACCTCGATCGCTTAATGAGAACTTTAAAGCACCTCCGCAAACTACTGCCATTTCAAGTTGAATACATCCTATTTTCATTTGGCAATGTGCCCAGTAAATGGTTTCATCACTATTCGCTCAGCAACCGACCTGTCATTGAACCTGGTCACTTAAGTTCATGAGCTGTGGATGTCCACGCCAGTGAAGACCTTTCACATACCACTGCTTTCAAAAACTTTTCTGTCATAAAACTCGATGCAAAAAGCAAAAAAAAAAAGAATGAAAAGAAAGAACTTTCAAAACCTTCACAAAGAAAAATGTCACAAAAGTTAAATACTTTACTTTCCGGTGATTTTTTTCTTATCCCCCACCCCTTTTTTTTTTTTTGCTTTCCATTCTATTCCTTTTATTGTAGTCTTTATTTTCTCAAAAACCAAAGCCGGAACTTGATAATAAACTGTTGACCTTGAAATTTAATTGATCTTTTTCTGCATTTTTTTTGAAATTACTTTTTTTATAGCAGTAAACTTTGTTCTTTCTCAACCGATGCAGAAATTTTGAAATGTCCCTGTCAGGGCCCAGGTCAGGAAGCTGGAAATTCGCAAGAAACCCTATCGGGGCCACAGAAGAAGCCCTATTACAACCGAGGCCAGGCCAGGGCCTGATTTGGCCCCGATCGGGTTCCGTGTTTCAACCAGGAAATCTAGTGTGAAAATATTTTACATTTCTATGCAGATACTGTGCAGTTATACTATTTTCTATATAGGAACTGTATAGTTACAAAATATAGCGAAACTAGTTAGAAATGTAACGCTAAGATTTCCTTTTATTGTAGTATTTTTTTTCTCAAAAACCAAAGCCGGAACTTGATAATAAACTGTTGACCTTGAAATTTAATTGATCTTTTCCTGCATTTTTCTCGAAATTACTTTTTTTATAGCAGTAAACTTTGTTTTTTCTAAACCGATGCAGAAATTTTGAAAGGGCACTTTCAGGGCTCAGGTCAGGAAGCTCGAAATTCGCATGAAACCCTATCGGGACCACAGAAGAAGCCCTATTTCAGCCCGATTAAAACCGAGGCCAGGCTAGGGCCTGATTTGGCCCCGATCAGATTTCGTGTTTCAACCAGGAAATCCAGTGTGGAAATATTTTACATTTCTATACAGATACTGTAAAGTTATACTATTTTCTATATAGGAACTGTATAGTTAAAATATAGCGAAACTATTTAGAAATATAACGCTAAGATCAACAAGTTTTTTGAAAGATCGGGACAGTTATACTATCTAGTTTATAGATAGTATAACTATTCAGAAACTATTTAGCACATTAAGATTATTAATAAAAGTCAAAATAGTTGTACAATTACCCGTGCAGAAATTCGCTAACCTGGCCCTGACTTGGTTGAAGCAGGGAAGCCGAAATGGGCCAAACCAGGCTTTGGTCGGGCGCTGGTTTTAATCGATTTTAATCGGGCTGAAATAGGGCCTCTTCTGTGGCCCCAATCGGGTTCCCTGTTTCATGCAAATTTGGAGCTGGGCCCTTTCTAAATAGTAAAACTATATTGAAACTATTTTGCGTATCTAGATTATTCAGAAAGGTTAGAATAGTTATACTATCCAGTTTCTAGATACTTGAACTATATGGAAATTATATAGTGCATCTAGATTATTTAGAAAGGTTTGCACAGTTAAACTATCTAGTTTCTAGGTACTTAAACTATATGGAAACTATCTAGAGCATCAGTAGATTATTTAGAATAGGTTTAGAATATTTTTTCCAGACAAAAGCTATCTAGTTTCTCATTTAGTTTTTGTTTAACTAAATTATTTCATCGGCTGACTATTATCAATATAATTAAAAAATTATTTATTAAAAACACTGAGGAAAAAACTTGTTTTTTATTAATTATTAAAGAAACTATGTTCCTTGTCTGTATATTAACCGTCATTACTACTTAATTAATTTTGATATTGTTTCAAAGTAATTAAATTATTTCATCGGCTAATCATTATCAATTTATACTACTTAAATGTTATTTATTAGAAAAAACCATGTTTCTTGTCTGACTATTGACAAATTTTACTACTTTCAACATATAAATATATAAATGAAAAAAAAAAATCTGTCATTGAATAATTAGTAGACTCGCGTGGATTCATTTCTTTGGCAAGTGTAAAGATGTTCTTGAAACTGGCAATGAAGAACGGAAAAGTTTTCCAAAAGCACTTTGCAAACTTAGCGGTTGAGAAAGGTCTTTAATGCAATAACCATTAAAATTTTATGACTGAAAGTGGAAAAGAGCGAGAAGTCTACTCGCACGGACACACTTGAATCACCTTTGGCTGCATTGCGGTGCGGATAATTAATTTGTGACGTTAAAGCTATCACAGTTTTTATTGATTTCATTTAGTTGAGTTTCAAGAAAAAAGAAATGAAAGTAAAGTAAAGTAAAGTTTGAGAAATTGGAATTATTTTTTATTACGAACGACGAACACTTTTCGCGAGAGATTCCTTTTTGGTGACATTAACTTTTCCACCTTGGCAATATGGGTGTGCACAAAAAAAAAAAAAAAAAAAAAAAAATAGAAAAAAAAAGAAAAAGAAAACTTGTCAGTCTCTGCAGAAAAAAAATCCCCTTTTTCCCTAGGTCACGTTTTATATTACATGAAGTTCTATAGAAGATTCTAATTATTGCATTCTTTGTAATTACTTTAATTCTGACAAATTTTTCCTACATGTAAATTTAGTTTTATTTTGCAAAAAAAATTATTGTTCTAAAGCTTATCTAATTATTTCTATTAATTTTACTATTATTGTTATTATTATTTTATTATTATTATTATTATTATTATTTGTTTAAAATTTTCTGTTATTATTTATTATAAATTTTAAAATTTGTATTTAATTTAAAAATTAATATTTTGAAATTGTCCCATATAAGGTGGAAATCTTAATGTGACATTGAAGGCTTGTATGTTATGTTGGCATTACTGAAGATGACATTTGTCATGAGTACCGCAAATTTGTAATGTTTGACCACATTCGGTTATTACTCCTTAAATTCAAAACAAATTTATTTCATTGAAATAATAATAATTAATATTTATTTGTATAAAATAATTATTTAAGTCAATTAAATGGTGTTTGTTTCAAATATAGAAATTATTCGTTCAAATTATAAATAAATAACAAATAACAATAAATAAATAACAAATAACAATTATTTGGTTTAGATAAATATTTATTTTATTCAAGTAAATAATTATTTAAATGAAATAAATTTTACTACTCATACTAAAAGAAAATATAAAAAATAAAAATGTAAATTTTTATTTCCTCTATCTAATTAGTAGGAATTCCCCTGAATTCTACTATTTAAATTGAATTTTTTTTTATATCGATAAATTTTTTTAATTAAATTAAATATGAAACAATTTTTTTCGTATTATCTACTTTAAATTCAATTTTAAATTTTCCCAGCTTTTAAATGTCCAACCGCATTCTATGTTTACTACTTAATTAAAAACTTTGTAATTGTCCATTACCAAGACTATAATAGTTTTGATGTTAATTAAATAAATTTCTAGGCGGAGGTTTTTTTTTTACGAGCACATATAGTATAAAAATATGTTTCTTTTAAGGAAAAATTGAATTAAAATTAATTTTCCCTAATTGATCGTCAAGGATCAAGGATCATTATATAAAAAAAAGGACAATAATTAAAAAAAAAAAAATGTGTAAGTTCTTTTTTTCTTTCATTCTCTCTGTCTCATTGTTGTTGAAGTTTTTTAAAAAGAAATTTTCTTTTCTTTTTGTTTTTAATCATGAAAGGAATTAATTACAGAGATTCAGAGGATACTTCATGTTTTGAACTCTCGTGGAAACATAAACAAGTAAGTCGACGAGTAAAAGCATTGAAACGTATCCAAGGGTAATTTCCATTAGCAATACCAGCGATCCTGTTTTGAAATACGGTTTTCATTAAAGTGAAAGTCTGTTGAAGCATATTCAACTGACCCGTTTCATAATAATGTTGTTATAATGCAAATGCCGCCTTTTACGTGTGTTTACAAAAAAAAAAAAAAAAAAAAAAAAAAATACATAAATTCAAAAAGCTTAAAATTTAATATGTTACATTAATAATTTTCATTATTTATTAAAAAAATTCAATATTTCTTTCCTTTTTTTTTCCTTCATCATCAAAGAAACAGTTCAAATAGGATTTAGATGAAATAATTAAAGCAAAGTTTGCAAAATAAACTATCTGTTTGTATGTAGCTTTCTGCGGCACTAAGACGAGGCCAAACAGTTTCAATAATAAATTATAGGGATCTGGGGGATTCCGGAAAGCTCAAGGAAGTAAATATCGGCCCCCTTATTTTAGAATTCACTGAGCTTTCAAGAGAGAGAGAGAGAGAGAGAGAGAGAGAGAGCCCTCAAGGGGGGAGGGAGATCCCT